AAACTTTTTGGGAGGTATTTTGTTCCACTTGCAGGATTGCAATTGAATTTGAATTTTTTGGAGGGTTTTTTCCCTTTTACTATTTTTGAAGCTCTGAGTTATTTTTTGCCTTTTTTTTTTAAAAGTTGGGGGCCCGCAACGTTTTGACGTAATACAATTATTATTTTTCTTTCTTAAAGGGTTTTTTAATTTTTGGGAGTCCCGTCCATTCATGGTTGTAAATAAAGGGGTTTTCCCCAGTGGGGCATGGGGTCATAATTTTTCCTAAAAATTTGGGGTAATTTTTGTCAGATTATTTCCCCGGGTTTTTGGGGATTGGGTTAGTTTTCAATGTGTGTTTGAGGGGGGGGGGGGGAGGGGGTATGGGTCACCTGTGTTGGGAGCAAAGGTTTTCCCTTTAAAAATTTCATATTGTAGGTTTGGGGAAAATTTTTTTGCGAGGGTATTTCGGGTGATTGGGCATTAAGCTTGGAGCATTATTGTGTTGGGTTGTAATTTTTTGGAGTTTTTTTTTTATAACCATTTGGGCCTTTGTTATTAAAAACTTTATTCCTTCCCTTAAAATTTTGATATTTTTAAAAAGACGGGCAGATGTTGCCGGATTGGGTTTTGGGGTTTTATATTTTGTTTTAAAGTGTTGCCTTTTTCATTTTTTTAATATGTACCTTTTTAATAATTTTTTAAAATGAATTTTTAAATAAAATATAAAAAAAAAAAAAAATATATTTCTTTAAAGCTGCTAATACAAGTGCCCGACCACTTTTTTCTTGTGTAATCACCTTTGTTTACCCCACCTACTGAGGTTGCAGGGGGCGAGACCAAACTCCCCCCCCCCCCCCTTTTCCCCGATCGCTACTTTGGCACCCCTCCCCCGAACCGGGACCCTTTTCATACCGGGGGGGGGGGGGGGGGGGGGGGGGGGGGGGGGGGGGGGGGGGGGGGGGGGGGGGGGGGTCCCCCTCTTAAACTTGTTTTGTCCACCCTTTCAATTTCCCTTCCCCAATATTTTGATTCCCCCTTTTCAATGGTCCCTAACTCCCTGTTTCCTTCGTGGGGTTTTTTCCTTACCTCTCCCCCCGTTGGGTTCCCTCTTAAAAAAACGGGCTAGTCCCCTTTTTCAAATTTGCAATTTTTTAGTTTTCTTTCCCCCCACCCCCTTTTCCCCCCAGGTGTGGGTTTCCCAAACCCCCCGGGCCCCATACTCCAATTTGGGCCCTTTACCGTTTTTTTACGGTTGGTAAGGGGGGCCCTGGATACTTCCTATTAAGAAATGTCCGGGGAAATTTTTTTGTTCGGAAGTGTTCTTTTTGGGGGCCGATATTTAGCAGTTTTTTTGGTTGATTTGAGCTTTAGGGGATGTGCCTGGGGGTTTAAATTTACCCCCAAGGTCTTTTTCCTTGAGTAAGGTTTTTTAGTCCTCTGACCCCCCTTTGACTGTACTCTCTCTGGGGGTCTTCTTTGCCCTTTCCCCAAACTTCTGACTTTGCACTTTGGGTTTGGGTTAACTCCGGGGAGCCAATTGCTGGGCCAGGGTCTGCAGGCCCTGTCCAGATCCCTTTGTAGTTCTGCCTGATCTTCGATAGAATGAATTCTTCTCATCAACTTCACGTCATCTGCAAACAGTGACACTTCGGATTCTATTCCTTCCGTCATGTCGTTCACAAATACCAGAAATAGCACTGGTCCTAGGACTGACCCCTGTGGGACCCCGCTGGTCACAGGTGCCCACTCTGACACCTCGCCACGTACCATGACTCGCTGCTGTCTTCCTGACAAGTATTCCCTGATCCATTGTAGTGCCTTCCCTGTTATCCCTGCTTGGTCCTCCAGTTTTTGCACTAATCTCTTGTGTGGAACTTTGTCAAAAGCATTCTTGCAATCCAAGAAAATGCAATCCGCCCACCCTTCTCTCTCTTGGCTACGTCCTGTCACCATGTCAAGAACTGCCAGTATTTGACACAAGATTTCCCGTCGCTGAAACCATGTGGCCGCTGTTGATGGATCCATTCCTTTCTAAGGTGCTCCACACTCTTCTCCTGGTAATCTTCTCCAGACTTTTGCATACTATACTTTTAGTGACACTGGTCTGTAGGTTAGTGCTTTTATGTCTGTCTCCGTTTTAAAGGTTGGACTACATTTTGGCTGTCTTCCACCTCCATGCCTCAGGCAATCTCCCTGTTTCGCTAGACTTATTGAATATTGTTGGTTAGGGTACACATAGCGGCCCTGCTCCCTCTCTCAGGACCCATGAGAGATGTTAACCGCCCCTTTGCCTTTGAAGTATCTAGCTCACTCAGAAGCTCTTCACTCTTCCTGTTGTGTTGTACTGTGTCCAGCTACTTGTGTGTGGCCCCACCCCTGTCTTTCTGGAGCCCCTTCTGTCTCCTCTGTGAACACTTCTTTAAATCTCTTGTTGAGTTCCTCACTTACTTCATGGTCATTTCTTGTTGTCTCTCCTCCTTCCTTCCTTGTGTGTGTGTGTGTGTGTGTGCGTGCGTGTGTGTGTGTGTGTGTGTGTGTGTGTGTGTGTGTGTGTGTGTGTGTGTGTGTGTGTGTGTGTGTGTGTGTGTGTGTGTGTGTGTGTAATTCTGGTAATAGCTTGCAGGAGCGAGTGACTAGTAGCTTACAGTGTGCAGAGTCCAGAATTCTGACACAACAGACCGGGCCGCGGGGGCGTTGACCCCCGAAACTCTCTCCAGGAAAACTCCAGGTAAACATTAAGTGAGAGGAACGTACGCTGGCAATGGGGCGGTGGACAAGTTGCCGGTTCTGCTTCTCCTTGTTGTCGTACACATAGGCCTTCTAAGTCTTTTTTTTGGAAATCCTTCAACCATGATATATCCATTTATGATCATAATCCACCCGCTCCTCAAGTGTTTTCACTTTTCACTTTTGGTAAAATACACTTCACATTTGGTAAGTTACAGTTCTTGTTTACAGTGGCACACAGACCATACCCCCGGCCGGGATTGAACCCGCGGTCATAGAGTCTCAAAACTCCAGCTCGTGGCACACAACCTGCTATGACATCACCACTTAATTGAGGACTACTCCTGCCACCTTTCCTACTTATATATTTTTTTCTTTTCTTCATTTTCTTGTTCACTTTTTCACGCTCACTGTATGCTACCCCACATTTTACTTGTTAACCAACCTCTCTTAACTCTTGACCTCCTACATCATACACTCGCTTTGTTCTTTGTATATTTTTACCGGTGTGGCAACAGTGCCTACTAAACCTCTAACAAATTGGCACTTTGAAATTTTGTATAATATCAGATTTCCTCTCGCCATTTTTTTTAGCTAATAACTTTGGTTATCACTTGTAGGGTTGTTCACTGTCGTTGTCACTATCACTGGTTGCTGCTAGTAGCTAATGCACCCCCTAAAAACACTAAGATTCTCGGAGCCTTGTGACCCACTACACTCTACCACCGTCCGCCGTGTGGTGTGTGTGTGTGTGTGTGTGTGTATGTGTGTGTGTGTGTGTGTGTGTGTGTGTGTGTGTGTGTGTGTGTGTGTGTGTGTGTGTGTGTGTGTATGTGTTTGTGTGTGTCTGTTTGTGTGTGTCTGCTTTTGTGTGTACTCACCTATATGTGGTTGCTGGGGTCTATTCACAGCTCCTCGCCCCGCCTCTTCTCCCTTGTTGCAAACTTTTGTACTTTCCTTAATTTGTTGATGTGTTTAACTAGGTGTGGGTTCCATACTGATGCTGCATACTCAAGTAATGGCATGATGTACACGGTGTATAGTGTCGTGAATGACTTCTTACTTAGATGTTGCAATTCTATGCTGCAGCAATTATTTGATTGATGTGCACCTCAGGGTACAAGCTTGGTATAATGCTTTCCTGAAGAGCGTTTTATTTAAGTGAAGTTTGCAGCTCTTGATCCCCTAGCTTGTACTCTATCTGCGGTCTTCATTGTCCTTCCCCAATCTTCATAACTTTGCACTTGCTAGGGCTGAACTCCAGTAGCCATTTTTCTGACCTGGCTTGCAGCCTATCCAGATCTTTTCGCAATCTTACCTGATATTCGCCCACATGTATTGTCCTCATTAGTTTCACATCATCAACGAACAGGAACACTTCTGAATTTATTCCTTCCATCATGTCATTCACATCTTCAAGAAACAACACCAAACGTAGGACGGACCCTAGTGGAACCCAACTCACACATGCGACCTCCACTCGAATACTTCATCACGAACCATAGCTCACTGATTGGCCCCCTTTTTTTTTCCCCCCCCCCCCCCATCAGGCACTCTCTGATCCATTGCAGTGCCTTCCCTGTTATTCCTGCCTGGTCCTCCATCTCTTGCACTAATCTCTTGTGTGGACTGTGTCGAAAGCCTTACAGTCCAAGAAAACGCAATCTACCCACCCTTCTCTCTCTTGTCATACTGCTGTCACCTTGTCATAGAACTCCAGTAGGCTTGTAACACAGAATTTCTCGTCCCTGAGTCCGTGCTGGCTATTGTTGATAAGCTCATTCCTTTCCAGGTGTTCCACCACACTTTTCCTGATAATTTTCTCCATGACTCTGCGTAATCTACATGTCACTAATGCATACCCAGTTGGGGTTTGTTTCCCGTTGTGTCAACCTTATATTCTGCATCACGCTGGTGCTTTCATCTTGCGACCATAGGCCTACTGTGCTCAGTCCACACCACCCTCTCTCTGTCTCTTGGCACCACCTCAACCTAGAGACAAGAAGTCTACTCTGCTCTCTCCCTCGCGGGCAAGGGCCTGGCCCTCTGCGTCACTTAACCCACTGCTTGTGTACCAAGAACCCAATAAAGTAACACGTCACCTCCGAAGAGTATTCATTCACCAGCAACAACAAGAAGAAATCGTTAATATTGGAGACAGCGGTGGTCGCAGATGTGGTGTTTGCCTGGAGGGAGGGAGGGAGGGAGGAAGATGAAAATGTTGTCACTCCATCGCCTCGTATAAGCAGCATCTATCTCCCAACTCGTTTTCCCGATGTCGTGTCCTTTACTCTCAGCATCCAGACAAAAGTAATAATACATAGGTCTCATAGACATCATGTCATTTGTTACGACTTCCGCTAACTCAAAGTCGTCCTTGTTATGACTCTTCTCCATAAGAGACCTTTTCCACTCCACCTCCTGACCATCATAGTACATTTACGCGTAGACCCAATCTGGGGACGATCAGACTAACCTCTGCTATAACAATCAGCTCTGTTGAGAGATGAACATCGCCAAGCCACCAGTAGCCCCCTGATGGCAGGCCACTGTCTGATTCATGTCATGGCCTCAGTGAGTCAGCCTAACAAAAGCATGTGTCACGCTGACTTATAACTCGCTCACTCCACTTAGGTGTAGCTGCAAACGAATCCCTACTGATGCACATGAGTCATCCCTGTTACGACTCACATCTCGTCGGCCACCACCAAGATGTGCTGCGCCAAGTTCACGGCATGGAGACTGCCTAGGACAAAACCAGTCGAAAGCGACCCCCGGAGTTCTCAAGTCAGATGAAGCTTACTGAGATGCTTAGTACTGACGACGCCTCACTCAAGGACACCAGCAGGTTGTGCCCCAGTTTTGAGTGAACTGCATGACTACTCTGCATGATGTCTGCTTCATCACCGTTCTAATGAGAACCGTAACCTGATATGTTATAGCTCCACCACCAGCGATGTCTTTCCTGATGTGTTTGCTGTATATGTTGAGATGGCAGGAAGGCTTGCATTTATGCCTCATAATGCACCCAGCTTTTTTTCTTCTCTCCCTATGGGAAGTTTTTTTTTTGTCCATGTTCATATGTATACATATATTTTATTTTGTGTTCTGTGTCCTGTTCCTGCGAGAGAGAAACCGACTTGAGGACCACCATGGGTAGGTGGCCGAGCCATGCATACCCAGTTGGGGTTTATATTTCACCTTATGACGCCTTTATAATTTGCGTCATGTTGGTGCTGCCACCTCACGATCATAGGCCTACCATGCTCAGCCCACACAAACCTCTTTCTCTGAGGTTTCTCTTTTGTTTTGTTTTTTTAAGAAAGAGAAAGACACTGCATGTTATTCTCTCTTTTCTCTTTTTAAAAAAAAAAAACTTGGAGTACATTTGCTGTCTACCATACTTCAGGTAGTCGCCCTGTTTCTATAAATGTGTTGCAGATTGTTGTTAGTGGCACACTGAGTATCTCTGTTCCCTCTCTCAGGACCCACGGAGGGACGTCATCTGGCCCCATAGCCTTTGAGCTATCTAGTTTACTCAGGAACCTCTTCACCTCTTCCTCGGGTGTGTTGTGACCAGCACTTGATTCTGTACTCCACCACTCCGTCTTTCTGGAGACCTTTCTGTCTCCACTGTCAATATTTCTTTGAATCTCATGATGAGCTCCTCACATACTTCTCAGTCGTTTCTTGTTATCTCCCCCTCCTTCCTTTCCCTGCCTGATTACCTGGTCCTTGACTGTTGTTGTACTCCCAATGTGACTCTACAAAAGCTTCGTGGACAGACTTGGCTTCCACTGCTATGTCGTTTTTGTATTGTCGTTGGGCCTCCCTCCTTACCTGAGCATATTCAATTCTGGCTCTTCAACTACTCTCCCTATTATCCTGGGTCTTTAGTAATCTTTAGTTCTTCCATTCTCTAGAGCAGTTGGTTGTGGCTTCTCCACAACTTTGGGTGAACAAAGAACACGCCCTGGCCTTCTCATTATTTCTGTTACCCTTGGGTAGAAACCTCTCATTTATTGATTTCCCTGCTAGTTTTCTTTCCCACTGTACCTCATGCAGGAAATTTCTTGTGCCTCTTGTAGTTTGGCTTCGTTCCTACTGCTTCTCTCTCCTCTGGTAATTCTATGTATACGATGCTCGTGTGTGTGTGTGTGTGTGTGTGTGTGTACTCACCTATTTGTACTCACCTATTTGCGGTTGCAGGGGTCGAGTCTTAGCTCCTGGCCCCGCCTCTTCACCGGTTGCTACTGGGCCCTCTCTCTCCCCGCTCCATGAGCTTTATCAAACCTCGTCTTAAAACTGTGTATGGTTCCTGCCTCCACTACGTCTTTTGCTAGGCTATTCCACTGCCTTACAACTCTATGACTGAAGAAATACTTCCTAATATCTCTCTGACTCATTTGTGTCTTCAACTTCGAATTGTGGCCTCTTGTTTCTGTGTCCCCTCCCTGGAACATCCTGTCTTTGTCCACCTTGTCTATTCCATGCAGTATTTTATATGTCGTTATCATGTCTCCCCTGACCCTCCTGTCCTCCAGTGTCGTCAGGCCGATTTCCCTTAATCTTTCTTCATAGGACATTCCCCTTAGCTCTGGAACTAACCTTGTGGAAAACCTTTGTACTTTCTCTAGTTTCTTGACGTGCTTTATCAAGTGCGGGTTCCAAACAGGTGCTGCATACTCCAGTATGGGCCTGACATACACGGTGTACAGTGTCTTGAACGATTCCTTACTAAGGTGTCGGAATGCTGTTCTCAGGTTTGCCAGGCGCCCATATGCTGCAGCAGTTATCTGATTGATGTGTGCTTCCGGAGATATGCTCGGTGTTATACTCACCCCAAGATCTTTCTCCTTGAGTGAGGTTTGCAGTCTTTGGCCACCTAGCCTATACTCTGTCTGTGGTCTTCTTGCCCTTCCCCTATCTTCATGACTTTGCATTTGGCAGGATTAAATTCGAGAAGCCATTTGCTGGACCAGGTGTCCAGTCTGTCCAGGTCTCTTCGAAGTCCTGCCTGGTCCTCATCAGATTTAATTCTCCTCATTTAACTTCACATCATCTGCAAACAGGGACACTTCTGAGTCTAACCCTTCCATCATGTCGTTCACATATACCAAAAATAGCACTGGTCCTAGGACCGACCCCTGTGGGACCCCGCTCGTCACAGGTGCCCACTGTGATACATCATTACGTACCATGACTCGTTGTTGCCTCCCTGTCAGGTATTCTCTGATCCATTGCAGTGCCCTTCCTGTTATATGCGCCTGATGCTCTAGCTTCTGCACTAATCTCTTGTGAGGAACTGTGTCAAAGGCCTTCTTGCAGTCCAAGAAGATGCAATCAACCCACCCCTCTCTCTCGTGTCTTACTTCTGTTATTTATCATAAAACTCCAGAAGGTTTGTGACACAGGATTTGCCTTCCGTGAATCCGTGCTGGTTGGCATTTATACTCTTGTTCAGTTCCAGGTGCTCCATCACTCTCCTCCTGATAATCTTCTCCATAATTTTGCATACTATACACGTCAATGACACAGGTCTATAGTTTAGTGCCTCTTTTCTGTCTCCTTTTTTAAAAATGGGAACTACATTTGCCGTCTTCCATACCTCAGGTAGTTGCCCAGTTTCCAGGGACGTGTTGAAGATTGTGGTAAGTGGTATGCACAACATATCTGCTCCCTCTCTAAGGACCCATGGGGAGATGTTGTCCGGTCCCATTGCCTTTGAGGTATCGATGTCCCTTAGCAGTTTCTTCACCTCCTCCTCATCTGTATGTATGTCGTCCAACACTTGTTGGTTGTATTCCTTGCTGGTGTCCCCATCTGTCTGTCCCCCCAGAGTCCTTCCTGTCTCTACTGTAAATACTTCCTTAAATCTCGTGTTGAGCTCCTCACGTACCTCTTGATCGTTTCTTGTGAGTTCTCCACCTTCTTTCCTCAGCCTTATCACCTGGTCCTTGACTGTTGTCTTCCTCCTAATGTGGCTATACAGCAGTTTCGGGTCAGATTTGACTTTCGATGCTATGTCGTTTTCATACTGTCGCTGGGCCTCCCTCCTTATCTGTGCATAACTCGTTTCTGGCTCTTCTACTAATCTCCTTGTTTTCCTGGGTCCTATGCCTCCTGTACCTTTTCCATTCTCTGTTGCACTTAGTTTTTGCCTCCCTACACCTTCGGGTAAACCAAGGACTCGTTTTGGTCTTCCTATTATTTCTGTTTCCCTTGGGAACAAAACTTTCCTCTGCCTCCTTGCACTTTGTTGCCACATATTCCATCATCTCGTTTACTGATTTTCCTACCATTTCTCTGTCCCACTGAACCTCCTGCAGGAAGTTTCTCATACCTGTGTAGTCCCCCCTTTTATAGTTTGGCCTGTCCCCTTCAGTTCCTGTTACCTTCTCCACTTGTAACTCTACTATATAATCAAAACTCAGAGCCACGTGATCGCTAGCTCCAAGGGGCCTCTCGTAAGTGATATCTTCAATGTCTGAACTGCTCAGGGTGAACACAAGATCCTGTCTTGCTGGTTCATCCTCCCCTCTCTCTCTGGTTGTGTCCCTGACATGTTGATGCATGAGGTTTTCAAGTACCACATCCATCATCTTGGCTCTCCATGTTTCGGGACCCCCATGTGGCTCCAGGTTTTCCCAGTCAATCTCCCTGTGGTTGAAATCGCCCATTACCAGTAACTTTGCTCTGCTCGAGTGAGCTCTTCTTGCCACCTCAGCCAGTGTGTCCACTGTGTGTGTGTGTGTGTGTGTCGTGTGTGTGTGTGTGTGTGTGTGTGTTTACTCACCTAATTGTACTCACCTAATTGTGGTTGCAGGGGTCGAGACTCAGCTCCTGGCCCCGCCTCTTCACTGACCGCTACTGGGTCCTTTCCCTGCTCCATGAGCTTTATCATACCTCGTCTTAAAACTATGTATGGTTCTTGCCTCCATTACATAGCCTGCCAGAGTATTCCACTTCCTAACAACTTTGTGGCTGAAGAAATACTTCCTTGTTTCTGTGTGCCATCTCTGGAACATCCTGTCTCTGTCCATCTCCTCTATTTCACGCAGTATTTTGTATGTCGTTATCATGTTCCCCCTGACCCTCCTCTCCTCCAGTGTCGTCAGACCGATTTCCCATAACCTGTCTTCATAGGACATCCCTCTTAACTCTGGAACCAGCTTTGTTGCAAACCTTTGCACCTTCTTTAATTTCTTGACATGTTTGACCAGGTGTGGGTTCCAAACTGGTGTTGCGTACTCCAGTATAGGCCTGACGTACACAGGGTATACAGTCTTGAACGATTCCTTACTGAGGTACCGGAATGCTATTCTCAGGATTGCCAGGCGCCCATATGCCACAGCAGTTTCCTGGTTTGTGTGTACTTCTGGTGATGTACTAAGTATTATACTCACTTTTAGATCTTTCTGCTTGAGTGAGGTTTGCAG